CAGGCGGGGCTGCCCTCAGGAAACGAAGGGCGGGCGTTTGCCCTCCCCGTGCTTCAGGTTCTCCCGTTGCCAGTAAAGGCGTTGCCTGGTGAGCGGAGGTCTCGCCTGGTCTCGCCAACTGCATGCAGTTGCCCGGCCGAGGGAAGGAGCGCAGAGGGCTTGTGCCCCTTACGAGACGAAGGGGAAGCGTTAGCGATAGGCCAGTTGCACGGAGGTATTTTTCAGAGCGTGGTGAAACGCGCATCCCTAGAAAATGGCCTCTGCTGAAGTTAAAGAGTGCACATGTAAACAACTTGCGTCAAAGTTATGTGTGAATCTCTTGACACAGAGGAGGCCTTTCCTAATGTTGGTGAGAGCGCTTAGTTCTCCCACACTTCAACGCTGTGAACGTGATCGGTTCTTTTTATTTTCTTGAACTTTACTTAATGTGACAACAATGCAGCCACCTCTTGTGAAAAAATACTAGACTGGAACACTTTCGGCCTTCTGAAAAGTGCTGTAGGTTCTTGATTTGCATGCAGCAGGCAGTTGATCTTCATATCTCAAAAAAAATTCGGTAAGATGTAAACAATTTAAGCTGTGTATTCTGTCATGTGCTGTATTACAATACTGAAAAGCTGAGCTCAAGAAGTTTTTACTTAGTTTAATTTTTGAGTGCTTGAAAAATTGGTTTAGTAGCTTAAGTTATTTAATCATGCCTCTACTTAAACATAGATTGCTATGAACAGGGGACCGTATCTGTGAGAGGTAGTTATAAATGTTTACGAGTGTAACTTAGTGTTCAGAGTAACATGACAAAAGCCAGAAATCACTAACATAAACAGTAATACACAAATTATGCAAACGCGTATTTTTGCGTGTGGGGTTGTAAGCATCACAAACTTGAGAAAACACTAAATCTGAAACTTGAAAGTCAAATTTTATTTCTCTCATAAATTATTAGAATACAGTAGGATTTTCCTAAAACATATTGTGAACATTAGTAGAGTGCATGTATTCAAAGCATAATGTAACAGCGTCTTGTGGATATTCAAATTTATAAGCAGGCTTTGTGTAGCTAGCTGATATACAAGTACCATGCGTGCAACTTTTTAACAGGGATTTGTTTAATACTGAAAAGTGTATGTTCATATATGTCTTTGGAAGATTTTAATTTCACTTGGTTTTCCTTTAATAGAGTGACAAAACTGGGGGAAACAGCTGAAAATGTCATCCTATTTGGCTCAGGAGGTTCACCTTGCTAGAAGACATGAAGAGATGTAAGTAATCGTTTCAGCGCTGTGGGCTGCCTCACAGCAGTGTGTGTTGTGGTCTTGCAGGACCTCCCTCACTGCACACGACCGTCCTGTGAACAGTGAATCTGAGCTCTGTACAGAGCAGTGGTATTTCAACAAGGGGTTGGTGTTCCAGGAGGTGGCACTCTTCCTTCATGAACTATTGGAATTAGCATCCTTGATTGCCATATTTAGGTTGATGAGGTTTTTTTACTTCCAATGGTGGTACTCGTTTAAGATCTCTATTGTTAACCTCCTGTCACTGTTAAATTCCTATTTGGGGAAGGTAATTGGATTCTCTCACTCTATGCCTCAATTATAGAATTGCTTCTTTGTTGCCCTGTAAACTCAGATTGTGAAGCAAATACAGTAATGATTCAGAAAAATCTGCTTTTCTTTTAACAACTAGTACTTGCCAATGAGCAAGAGTAGTACTGATCGAGTCACCCCAACCCACCCTTGTCTTTCCTGTTCTGGGAGACTCAGTGCTTCTAAGCACCTTAGCATATGAGGACTGCTGGTTGCAACATTATAGCTTCATACAAGCACAGCAGGTGGTGTCTGCCTGTACCTTTTCCCTCCCCCAGCACACCCACCCTACAGCCGGCTTAATTAGCCCCATAGTTTTGAGAAAACTGGGTAAGGTAAAAAGGTTATTTTCTAGCTCCTGAGCAAAATGTTCTACCCACTTAGCAAAATGTTTTCCTTTGTAGACTGTCTCAGAGATCAGAGCTGCTACAGCAGATGGAGACTTATCTAGGAGACAAAAAGACTAAAAAGACATGGCAAACTCAAGCAGCTGATGCAGCTCATAAAAGGAATGCAGCACTTTTAAATGTAAGTTTCTGCAACTACCAGGAGCCGCATTGAAATGTCATGGTTATGTAGCTTAGAGAATTTAAAAAAAAAAAAAAAAAAGTGTTTGCTCTGTAGTTATCGTTTGAATTCTCCTGTATACAGTTCCCTTCTCTGGAACTTGACCAAAAGTATTAAATGACAAGTCCTTATTATCTGATGGCATCACTACCTATTTCCCATGCCCTTCTTATATGAGCCTCGTGGTGGCAGCTGCTACTATTTTTTTTAAGTACATGTAGAGATGCAACACATGCTATTACATGCTTGCCTAAGAGAACTTAGTCTGACAAGACTCACTGCACCTTTACACTTTGGTTCAAGATATGGGGGTATGTTTGGAAATAGGGGCTGACCAGCCTGTAATGCTTTTAGTCCAGGGTAAGAAATATTCTCTCACTGTGGTTGTGTGGAGTTGTGGAAGAAGTTCTCAGTTTAATGTTTTTCTTTAAAGAGGTGAATGACTTCAAGAATGTTACTTGCAAGTCTGTAAGAGCAGTGTTTGGTATTTCTGTCTCTTCCTAGTGGTGATACTGTTAATGATGTTAATAGCTGTTCTACGTACTTGTTGTCATATGTCATATTTAGGTAAGATTTGTGTTTCCTAGGTAAATTCAGCAGGCGTTTGAGAATGGGCAATTAAAAAGATCTAGGTTTGATGGGAGGGACTGGAATGCTAAAACCTCTTCTGGAACCCCTAGCTTAGGCATCTGAATTTGAAGAGATTGCACTTGACCACTGACATGAGCATGCATTTGAAAAATGTTTGTCTGTTGTTCAGGAAACAGCAGAAAACCATACCTCTTGTGCATTTTCTTTAAACCCTTACTTATTAAGGGTCCATATTGCATGTATTGTGTTTACTGAAATAATAAGTTTTACTCTAGAAAATTACAAGATTAATTCGTGTCACCAAAAGTTTTTTGTTTCTTCATGCAGAGCCTGGTCAAGATTTTAAATGTTCGCATTTTGGGTGGGTATAATTCTATTGCAGGCCCTCTTTGTATTTAAATGGCAGCTATATTTTAGGGAGTGGCAGACAAGGCAGAATAGTTAATCAGGGATGCCTTCTTCACTGTTCTGTGGCAAGCAAGATTTTTCAACTTGGACTCTGATAAACTGGTGCATTCTGGGCTGGGGCAATCAAATACCGCTGTAGTGGATATAGACAAGTGTAGGTGCTTCAGGGGGAGGCTGGGGAGAGGTGGATGGTTTATTTATTAGTTTTTCCATAGTTCGGGCTCCATTGATTTAGTAATTTCAGCCATTATGACTCCCATTTTCCATATGCATTTTATAATAGATTTTTATTTCATAAATACATTTTTTATATGTTATTTGTATTTCATAAATGTGTTCTCAGTTAACCTATACAGGTGAATGTAGTAAATGCAGGGTATATTTCTGCATGCTGAAAGCTTGTTGTATTGAAAATGTTAACAATAGCTCAGACATATACAGAGTGTAAATATTTTTGCAGTTAAACAGATATTTGCCATCTTCTGTCACATCCTCGAAATTGTTCCTTTCAAGTGTCAAAAATGTTGGTGTTTGTACGGGGAAAAAAAGCAAAAACATATGTATCAAAACAAATTCTGTTGCAGGATAAATAGCATAAATCAGTTTAAATCTATTAATTTTATACTAGCTTTAACAGGCATGCGCTCCTGCAGATGCTTTCTGATAACAGAAGAAAACAGGAAAAAAAAAAATCTATGCAGAATAATATATGAGAAGCTTGAAAACAAGACTGATTAATGTGCCAGCTTCAGAATATTGTTCCTGATACCAGGCACTGTACATTTCACAGTTACCATGTGGAGAGTTGTTGATTTGGCCTACTCAAAAATACATGGACATGATGAAGTGTTATTTTTTTATTTGCATTTCTGTTTTTCTGCGTGTAAGCAAAATCAGTTGTTTTCAGTATGTGATCATAGCAAAAGACATTTTTCTTTCTCTGTGCTAGTTGATATTTATGCACAGGAAAGCATTTCAAAATTAGTTTATTTACAAATCAGTAGGAAGCAAGGAACTAAACATTTTTTTTTAATTGAAATTTTAACATTATAAGCACTTGTTCAGCATTTTAACATAATTATCATAGTATTTTCCTTGATGTCTTTGGAGGGAGGCTTGCAGATTAGGGAAATCTGTGTTACTTGGTACTTATATAATGTTGTTGTAATAAAAGCAGAAATTAGACTAGTATTTATAATCTAATTTATGACATTTGTTTGTTAGTAATATTTCTTGTCTTTAGAAATATGTATGACTGTGCAACAGCTTATAACATGAAATAGAAAATAAAGAATATGCTATACCATTGGGAAGGTAATTTAGACCAAATTGGCTTTCCTTCACAGGCATGTAATTCTAGAATTATTTAAGTGGGATTCTGCCAGACTGATATCAATATAAGTGACAGCTGAATTTGGTCCCCTAAAAGTGATGCATGTGTCATGCATTCCATTTTACCTCTGGGGAAGGGTCTTGAATTGTTTTTGTTCCAGTCCTTGTGGTTTTAGGGGAAGCGTTGTAAGATGCTCTCTTTTTTCAGTACTGTGACATATTAGATTTGCTGGTTTTTTCCAAAGAAGTTTACACTGCTGACGTATTTATTTTTATGTTGATGATGGGGATTTCTTCTTCCTACGAAGCTTACCAATGGTACAGATGCACAAGAAGTGCCATCTAATCTTTCAGTAGTTCCAGTTATTTTCTAATGCATACTACACCTTCCAGCAAAAATTTCTTTCACTGTCTGTCATTAAATCAGTATTCTGAATGACAATAGACTGCACAACATACAAACTAGAATGAGCAACGAAAAGACACATCCAAAATCTAGGCTATGCCAAAGTGACCTTCTCTACTAAACATATATGCACAACTGCTGTCTCCTTTCTTGCCCGAAAGACTCTCATTTCCCACCACTGTAAACATTCCAATGACTTAGCTGAGTATATAAAGAAATAATGATCTTGATTGGTATTCTTCCTTCCTGTGAAAATTCCTACAGGAATTAGGAAGAAGGAATCAGAAAGGAGGAAAATCCTGTGGAAGAATATGAAGTGAGCATTACTGATTGATCCTTCTTTTCACTATGGTGGTAACTTCTCAAGACTTGGTCTGAGCCACACTGATATGAGCTTCATTTGCTGCAATTTGTGGTGTATCTGTTCTAAGTACACGCAACAGAGAAATTCCTTTCTTAGGTTAGTTAAGTCTGTATCGTCCTCTGTTATTTTGACATTGTGACTTCAAGTGGCTTCCATCTTTGCCCATATTCCCCCCTTACATGTTTCTCCTGTTAGTGTTTTCTCACCTGAAAAGGGGCAGCCACTTGCTACTTCTGAGGATTTGGTTAAATCTGAGACTTAGTTTGCTCTTTCTCAGACATCTTTTAGCTTCCTACAAGGGTATGGAAAGCTTTTCTATGCTTTGCTATAGAAAAGGGAGAACAGTTTTGCTTGGATTTGGTTTGTACTTATGTACAAGAGAATACAGTCATGCTGTAAAAGGAATAAGATGAACACTGTAAACTGAATGAACTGAGTGTATCTGTATCACTAAGTTGAACTTCAGCTAACAGTAAGGCTGGTTTTTGCTTTTATTAATCATTCTCTACTGAATTTGAGTCATATTTTCCAAACTAAACTAGAGTCGAGCACTGTTTACTTATTGATGTATTCAGATTGGCTATTATTCAATACGAGTAATCATGTTTGGTCTCTCTTGTGGATATGCTCCTCCAGAATCTCACTCTTCTTTTCAGCGGCAGTGGTGGTGAATATTTGGGAAGTCCCTTTGGGGAATTTCCTCTCTCATTTAGTTTTTCTGTTGTACTCTTCACACCCGCTCTCTGCTCCCAACTCTGCCATCTGCTATACTTTCTTTCTCCCTCCACTCTGTTCAGCTTTGGCTTCTTCACACCCCACTCCCACGTCCCTTTCTGTCTCTCTTCATCTGCCCACCACTCAATCTCTTCAATGTTTGGGTATGGAACTAAGCCCACAAGAATGGGTCAGAACTTTAGAGGGGGAGGGCGTTTAGTTTGGGGGGATGTTTTGATTTGTTTGTTGCTGTTGTTTTTGGGTTGTTTCTTTTTTTAAAAATTTATTTAGGCCTTTGTGAATCCAGCACGCATCCACTGGACAAGCAGAAACCCAAATACTGATTTTTTTTTTTTTTTTTTTTTTTTTTTTAATATTTGTTTTTTTTTTTTTTTTTTTTTTTTTGTAAGAAAGCTATGTGAGGTGCATTGTCATCCAAGTTTGTCTGGTGAACAGCTTGCTGCAGCTCTACATTTTTGTGCACATGTTATGCATGCATATTAGCAAGTCATCTTTGTCTTGAGGAGTAAAGATCTTGCACATAATTTGCCTAGTTACTTTACAGTTACAGTAGCTAGAATACATACTTCAGTCTTCATGCAGCACAGAGAAAACCATTCTGTTCTCCTCTATTTTCTTAAGTTTTATAGAACAGAATTTAACTGTAATTTACACTGGTGTCCAGAAAGAATAATGGTGTTTTGCAGGAACAGTCTTATGTGGTAATGAAATTTATTCTTGTGTCAAAAAGGTACGGCAAACATATTTAGAAACTGTAGGATGTTAGTCTTACTAGTACAAGTTGGATTTCAGAATGACTAAACAGAAAGATTTGAACTTCAGTGTTATTATTTGAATGCTGTTTAGCTGTAATGAGTTCATTTGATTAAATGTCTATATGTGAGCATGCATTTTCCTTTTAATATTCCCAGTGTTTGTTTTTAAAATGTACTTTGCCTGTGTTTTAGGATATAGAAGCAGCAGAAAAAAAGCTGCAAGAAAGAGTCTGTTTACTTCCACATCCTGATACTGTTAAGTTAGAAGTAAGTCCTAGAACTCTGTCTTTTCATTTGCTGTTTACCAAATATTTTGCTTTTTCCCCCCCTGAAGCATGTTCTTAAAGTGAAAATAATTGATTTTAAAATCCACTGACTGGTATAGCCAAAGGCCTGTGTACTGTGTAGCAAGCTGAACCTAAATTCTGGGGCAAGGTCCCTAGATTCCGGAGCATTCTAGTGGAAATATTTAGCAGCTTTCAGATCTATACGAACTTCTATTTAAAAACGAAGTCAAATATAAAAAATGAATGTTGTGAATATCAGAAGATTACTGTGTTTATTATGTCAGAGCTATTTAGTTTGTTTTATATGGTCATCCCATTTTCAGTTTGCCACAGATTGTCATTTTTACATTTCAGGGTCAACAGTTTATCAGCATGAACAGAGAAATTTTCACTTCTCAGAGTTATCTTATGGTTGTATGGAAGCTTATGAAAAACATTGCTACAGCAGGAACACTCGATTTTTACTTTTCTACCTGTAGTCCCTGAAACATTATTTAAAGATTAAGATTTTGAACAGCTAGTTACTGAGAACTAAATATTATCCTGATACAATGTAACAAGTTCAGTTCCCTAGTCTCAAGACTGTTTTATCAGTATTATGCAGTGATGAATGAATGATGAGGACAGAAACAGTCCCGGGAACAGGAATTGGAGCATCTTCCTGATGCAAACTAAATACCTTAACCACAAGGCCACCAAGTCAGATTCCCACGTGTGTTTCTTGTACCAATGGTTTGGGGGTTCTTTGCTGTATGGTGGCTTAGTTTCCACAGGCATAGTAGCATGGAGTGTCCCGCAGTAGTTTGTGCGCTGGGGTCCTGTCAAAGGGGGGGAAAGGTATAGATTTTAGCGCTGTCAGCCTGTGAAGAGAAGTGTATTGTACATTAGCTTCACACCTGCTGGGCAAGTGTTTTAATGCTTAGGCCATTACTTAAATGAAAGGCATCACTTCTGGTTACTGTTAAAAGTTTTTGTCTGTCATTGCATTTTGTAAATAGCCTACTCCTATCACTGCGACAGGATGCACGCTGAGTATGCCCATTCAGTGATTTTTTGTTGTTGTTGTTAGGGATTTTAGGCAAAAGGGTACATATTTTCCTGGATACCTGCACATCTTGAATGATGCTAAGATGCCAAGCTACTAATATCGAACCTATTTTGACTGTGTTCAGAAGTAGCTTTAGACTCCTAGAGGACTTTCAAGGCACCTCCAGAGTTGTTTGGATCAGTTTTGGACTGCTTCTCCCTCTGTCCTGTGTTAGGTGTTAAGCTGCTTGCGGAATGTAGACCAAAGTCTGCACAAATTGGAGAATGCAGAGCAATTGCTTGTGGCTGCAGAGATGTTTACACTCTGCAGCAGCGGTTGAATTTTAGAGAGAACAGAGTTACTATTTGAAGGAGAAGATCCTATTTCAGCCTTTTTTATACTTCTGAAGAAGAGTGCTATAAATAGTGGAAAAAGAAAACTTTCTTTCATGGTACAAAATTCTTGTGCGTGCTTTGTTCCAAAACACTTCTGAGCATATTTCACTCAGCCATGTATGTGTCTGTATTAATATACTTTGAAAGTTATGGCTATAATGGATCCCCAGCTTGCTAAGTCGGAGTAGTTTTGTGTGACAGCACATATGCTTGTCAAAAAAGATTCTTTGAGTAAATCTGTTGAAGAAAATATTTTTGTAAATCTGCAAGAGCCATAGTTATATCTGAGTTACATATAAGGATCAAAATGATTAGCCAGGAATCTAATACTCTGCAGGGAGATATTCAGTTTTGTGCTACGCTTCTTCTACTTTATATACTTAAGTAAAGAAAAAAAGGCTTAATACATATGTATCATAAATGTTTTCTACTACAAAATTACTTTTTTCTGAATGGACGTCAATGTCTAAAAATACTTACACTTACATTGGTGGATGGCTTATAGTGTTGGCTTAACACAGCTCTCCAATCACAGTATTTTGTGGTAAAAAATGATAGATACATGGCACTTAAAATTTTCTTCAAAATCCTAAAACAACAAAGTTATCCTTAGGATACCAACACAAAAATTTATTACTCAGTGGCACAGGGTAACGCAGAGAAAGGGTTAGATAACCCATAGTGGTTTTCCTAGACCGCAGGATAACTATACACTTTTTTCTTTTTTCGTTTGTGATCCAGATACCGGCACCGATTACTTCATCAGTCTAAAATTTTACTTGAATATTTTGAACTATATTACTGCAAACTTTTCTAGGATAACCAATTTACATAGCACTTTTTGTTTATAACACTAAACAATTTTTTTTCCACTTCAAAATTGAATTCCACTAACATATGTGCTTAAATATAAAAGCTGCTTTTGGAAAAGTTTATTATCATGGAAAATATTTTATTAAAGGTACTCTGAGGGTCTAAACTTATCTGTTGCTTACCACAAGAGGGCACATTCAGTCACTTCACAGTTCATGCTGCAGAATGAAATCTTTCCAGGCTGGTATTTTGTATCATACAAGAGATTTGAAATTTCTTGTGCAAGTACGTTGTTCTTTTCTGAATTGCTTCACTCATAAGGCAAGATTTAATAATGCACTGCATATCTATATTGTTTTTAAACAGGTTGACACAGATTTTGAAATTTATTTTTTCTTATATCTTTCTCAGACTCTCTATTGGGCATCAGTAAAAGAATCTCTTCCCAAGTGGGAACAGTTTCTTTTAGGAAGAGCAGAAGTTCCTATTGGTTTTAAGAAAATGAAAACAGCAAAACAGAACATAAGCTACCCAGAAGAAGATTCACAAAAATAAACATTCTGGTTTCATTTTGTTTTGTACTTTATGGCTTCCAGATCAGGCAACAGAATAGCATGCCATTAAATTATCATGTAAATCATTTCAATGAAAATTAACTATATTGGATAATTTGCTTCCATTGTTGCGTTCTTTACCATTCTTTATTTTTATTCTGTAGTAGAGAAGCAATCCTCAAAGGGGATTTCAGGATCAAAAGTGAGAAACACTGGTGTATAGAAACCCACCAAGGCAATTGCTTTTTCAGTATGAGAAGAGTTTTAGGTTATTTTTAATCCTCTGCTTCTACATATAAGTGCGATAAGTAAAGACAGATCCATGCATTATCTTTCTTCACTGCAGTCATCTGTGCTGTATGTCTCTCTGTGGGTGAGGGAGAAAGGAGGACTTTACCGTTAACAGGAAGGGCACGCTGTTTGCATCAGACAGAGTAGCCTTGGTTTAGCACCAGAAATCTGTGTAAAAACCTTCATGAGAGCAGTTGTAGAAGGAACACCTTGAATTTCCGCATCTTGCTTTCCCTGATTTTTGTCATTGCTACTTTCACTGCTTTTACGCCTCACTCCAGTAACCACTGCTGCTTTTCCCAACAACCTGCTGCCTACTTTGTATTTCCTGTCTAATGGGTGGGTGAAGACAAGAAAAAGGAAACAAATCTCTAGGGTTTTTTGCTACTTCTAGGCTGCTCTCAATGCTGTTTTCTTTATGTTGACATCATCTACAAGTGAGAAGTTTTGCTTAGGCATGAAAAGTTTGAAAGCAGCAAACTGAAAGGTAGCTGGCAGTGGCTGTCAAACAACCAAATACATATACATGTTGAGGACATAATATTTTCATTTTCAGCCATTGAGCAGCTCCTCAGCTTCCTCCTACAGAGGTGCAGTATCAGTGAGTTTTCATTGTACAGTGAGTGAACTCGGTATGAAAATTTCACTGCTGTAGTGCAGTGCTTTTTAAAGTAACAGTTCAGTGGAAGATCCTTCCAGGTGTGTGACTTGGCCTGCAGAAATTTAATCCTTCCTAAAGCAAAGGAGGCCTAGAAAAAAAAAATCTTTTTTTTTTTTTTTAAATTAAGAACCTGGCCTTAAGTCAATATATTGTTAAATTTTAATCTCATATACAACAACATACTTCCACCCCCCACCTGAAAGTAGGAGAAAAAAATTTTACTTCTGCCCGCATTTGAGGATATGAAAATGTAATGATTACAAATTTTGCTGGGCTACTAGCAATCTATGCATCTCCATGCTACATAGAGATACAGGGTTTTTTAATGGTAGGGATGTTTTAATGACTTTTATTGAAACTGAGGTACTTTTTAGCAACATTTCTCATAAAGGTCCTGACTGCTTTGGATCTGTGCACTAAAAGGCTTGTGTTCATTTAGCTAATTAAACATAGTTAAGTTATTCACTGATTAGCTGTTCGTGGGGAGATTATGGTCCAGTCAGAACTAGGGGACTAACTTCCAGCTGAAAACTGTAGGAAGTCTGGGTAGTCTTTAAGAACTAACATCTGCAGATGCTGTTCTCCGTGAAATTAGGCACTCAGTTTTGTCTGAATTTAAATTAGCAGAAGAATCACTGCCACAATACAATCAAAACTTCAGCTGCGGTATGAAATTGTTGTATGTTTTCAACGGGAATATTAAGAGTTCATTTAAAACTTTTTCTATTGAAGTGTCCATTAAACTGATAAGTTTTTACAGAAACTGCCATCTTAGAAATATCCTGTTGAGTGGGTGTTGGTGTTTGTAACAATAACGTTGTTTTCATAATATGTGATGGCAGATTAGCACGCTTCTCTGCAGTGTTGTTAACAGTTGTAATTAAGGAATAAACAGTAAAGGGTGTCAGTCCGATGACAATTTCATCTATAGTGTCACAATACAAAATGTCACAAAATATTAGAACTGTTATATAACTACAAAAATATCAAATTAGGCTTTCATCTTACAAGCAGAGAGCTTAAAAAAAACCTGGCATAGAGACCGTTGCAATTTTATACCTACTCGGTGTTCTGTCACAAAGACAACTTGGTAATATTTTCTTCTGTAAGATCGCAATGTGGCGCTCAGTCTGATTTAGCGGGAACGTGTATGGATCTTAGAATTGTAGAGCTCACATTTAAAAAGCAAATAATTGGAACCAGTTGAGCAGACAAGAAGCGAAAAGCTATTACACATGGTGCCCAGAATGAAGGGATGGGTGAGCAGTTAGTTGCTAACAAAGGCTAGGGTTCATCCTAGTCTTTGCATCCGAAGGGAAATCACTTAAACTAAAATCTGGGCCCCTAAGTACTTTATACATGTGAATAATCTGGGTCTTTATCTCTTTGGGCTCCGCCTAAACACTGGGACACAATGCAGATGCTCACTATCTCCTTGCCCCTTTTGATTTCCCATGGAAGGAAAGCAAAGCGTGGGGACTGTGAGGGCATGGCAGCTGGATGGGTGCGGATTTTGTAGCGTGCTGTGAAAGGCACCTGCAAGCAGCGATGGTGTAGTTTTTGTGCTGCAGTTAACTGCTCAGATACTGTGTTTCTGATTATTTTGTTGTTATTGGGCAAAGAGATTAAGATTAAAATGAAATTATCTTCAAAGAAGGAAATTACTTTTTTTTTTTCTCTGCAGCGTAGCTTTAGAAGCAATAGGACAACTAGTGCATGGAAAACTATATAGGAACATGTCCAGAAAATGATAAAACGAAGGAAAACATTTAAAGCAGAAATGTGTATAGGTGACTGCTCTCTGAGACAGGAGCCTTCATGTCGGCCTGTGGTCTGATATAAATAAATGCAATTGCATATGACTGTGAAACAGCCCAGCGGTAGGGGCAGGGAGGCACACAGCAGGGCCGGTAAGGCACAGGAGCCAGCATTTCCTCATTTGGCACAGACCACAGGGCAAGCAGTGGCAGCGAACTTAATCATATGGTATCTCCTCTTATACTTAGATTTGTTGAGCGCACAGTTTAATTTGCTATGGCTGAGCTAGCTTGCCACTTGCCTTTCTATAGATACAAATTTGAGAGAGCAAATGTTAGTTAAACTTCAGTGTGTTTCAAAAAAAAAAAAAAAAATTTTTAAATCCCCCAGACTGATTATCAGCTTTAAATGAGTCCTTGAATGAGTATTCTTCACCAAGTCAAGGCTGTTACTTCAAAGATATTGATTCTATGTAGTTACACCCCATCTTATCCCAAGCTTTTATATATATATA